CCAGCCTCACAGTCCCTGCTATGTCTGAGCCCATCGGTGCAGCCACTCTGTCAGTCCGTGTCGTGGAGGGCCTTCCCCGTTTTTGCTGACCCTCCACTCTACCAAGCACAGTGTCCTTCTCTGGGGGCCGGTCCCTCCTGAAAACATGTCCGAAGCCTATGGAGCAGTTCCCCTCTGTCTCATGGGGTTGCTATGACACAGAATCCACTCGGAGGCCCCCGACTAAAACAGCTGCCAGAGGAATCTCGTTAATATCTGCGTCAGCACCTGCCAGCCCTGGGCTCCCTACCCACCCTGGCTCCCCGAGTGACCACAAGGTTCAGGACTCTATGTCATCCTCTATGGAGCGAACTGGGTCCCCCGACACTATGTGTTAAAGTCCCAGCCCCCGGATCTCTGAATATGACCCTGTTTGGAAATAAGCGTTTTCTTTGTTGGTAGAGAGGTCAGACCGGAGCAGGGTGGGTTCCAGACCAAATCGCTTCTGAAATATACAAAGCACTGAATGGACACAGAGACTTCAAGAAATTTTAGACGCCTCCAGAGGTTACTGAGGAAGACCCTCCTCTGAGACCCATACCCTGAATTCAGACTTGTAGCCTCCAGAAGTGTCAGGAGACACTCCTGCTCCTTAAATCATGCACTTGTGGAATTCTTTTGTTACAGCATCACCAAGTGACTAATATACCATCTCAGAGCCTCCCTTCCTTCCTTCCACCTCTGCCCTCATCTCTCCTGTGTCTTGGATCACAGCGCCCCTAGAGGACAGAGTGGAATTGCACCACAGGGTTTCCAAGGCTGTCAATCTTCACAGAAGCCCAAACCACACCCACTGCTGTGGAGTCCATTCTGTCTCACAGCGCCCCTAGAGGACAGAGGGGAACTGCCCCCAGAGGGTTTCCAAGGCTGTCAGTCTTTCCAGCAGCTGACTGCTACATCTTCTCCTTCCGAGAGGCTGGTGGGTTGGAATCCCCAACCTGCTGGTTAGCAGCTGAATGTTTGAACCACTGTGCCAATGGAGCTCCTTCAGCACACAGTAGGTGCTCAAGAAAGAGTTATTGAAAATGAC